AATTGGTAAACAATCACCCTTAAGTCATAGGCATAACCTGTGAAACTGGGAAGGGCCCGCCTCTTTTTCACGTGAATTGGTATTATGGTACCCGGGCAGCGAATGACAGATTTCATATCATTATTTTTCCCTTGAAATAGAAACTAGTACTGTACCCATGTATTACATGGGTGGGGACGGTGCCTCATCCTTGGCCGTTCATGGACCGATTCATAAAAGTGGATCGGTATCTGGACAAGTCAAATCTAGGACCGTCCCAGACCGCGCCATCCCTACCATAAACAATCAACATATTTATAGATAATCCGAACCTAAATATTTTTGGATTAAAGTAAATTAAATCTATCAAAGCCTAATAACGATGCATGTAATTTTGCCACATAGGATCCCGACGCATGCGAGCCTGCCACATAGGTTCAACACGTTCTTAATTAATATATAAGGAGATTACGTAAATATCCCAAAATAAACAATAAAGAATAATCTATCGAAGAGTTTGCGGGACAAGATGACCAAGGGAAGAAAACTCGACCACCTCCATGCTGACACCTATACTAGCCAAACGACACCACAACCCATCCCCACAAAAACATCGAAGCCGCGTCGACATCATGGAGTCCAGCGACGCTCGACCCGAGAAGGCAGCCAAGATGACGTGAGATCTCGACGGGACCAAGCTCCACCGCCCTGAAAGACCGGTCGCGACACAATTTCGGGCCGCGTCGTGCAGCCAGGAGGTCGACCTCCGTCAAGGAGCTCGGTGGGGAAGCCTGATCGGAAGAATTAGGGCGCGACTAGAATTGAGGTTTTTCTCTTTTTTGAGAGAGGTGTTTAATTCACAATTACGGAATTACCACAGGAAAGGTGAAAATATCTATTAATAAACGTGTTTCACTTGTGTCGTTTGAACTTCTAATTCATTTTCTGTCTGTGGGCCAGCCCTTGTCTGTCATGGGACTCAAAACCTCGAAGCATATGGATGAAAAAGCCACTTTGGACTTCCATCATTATAGCGTGCAACTAAACCAGTTGCACTATCGTGTGCCTAGGTACACCTTGCTAGGTGTGCCATGACAGTATTACACGCGCTCCTCATTCTCAAAAAGCTCAAAAAGCTAGAAAATTTAGAAGGTGTAGTGCACTCTCCCAATTTTCTTTTTTAATGAAAAAATGAGACATATTACATAAATTAAAATATCATTAATTATTTATATTAAAAAAATAAAATAAAAATACCAAAATTCATAATTTTTCATTATCTATAAATAGAGACCACATTTGATAGGTTTTTGAACACAACTAATTTTCGTTTTTTGGTAACATGTTCACCTTATTGTGTATGTAAGATGTTCATTTTATTCTATAACAAGTTCATTTTATTATGTAACATGTTCATCTTATTCTATAACATGTTCATTTTATTATGTAACATGTTCATTTTATTTTATAACATGTTCATCTAATTTTCATCTGTGAAAATGTAACATTTTCATCTTATTAAAGAAGATTTTGGTTTGTGAAGGTGGAGGATATTCGATCGAAAGACTAATTTATGAAATTTCTTTTACATTCTACTAGTTTTTCACTTTCATTCCCTATAGTATGACTATTGCATAAATTTGAGTTCTTATCTGTAGATTATGGTTTATTATTTCAGGGCGGAGATGCTTGCATTAAACGAGTGAAAGTCGAGCAAGAAATTGACCAGAATTTTATATATGAAGTGGAAATTGGAGAAAATAATGTGAGAGCCCGTGATGTAGATATGAAATCTAAACATGTTCATCTTATTCTATAACATGTTTATTTTATTATGTAACATGTTCATCTTATTCTATAACATGTTCATTTTATTATGTAACATGTTCATCTTATCCTATAACATGTTCATTTTATTATGTAACATGTTCATATTATTTTATAACATGTTCATCTAAATTTCATATGTGAAAAGTGTAACATTTTCATCTTATTAGAGAGGATTTTGGTTTGTGAAGGTGGAGGATATTCGATCGAAAGACTAATTTATGAAATTTCTTTTACATTCTACTAGTTTTTCACTTTCATTCCCTATAGTATGACTATTGCATAAATTTGAGTTTTTATCTGTAGATTATGGTTTATTATTTCAGGGCGGAGATGCTTGCATTAAACGAGTGAAAGTCGAGCAAGAAATTGACCAGAATTTTTATATATGAAGTGGAAATTGGAGAAAATAATGTGAGAGCCCGTGATGTAGATATGGAATCTAAACATGTCCATCTTATTCTATAACATGTTTATTTTATTATGTAACATGTTCATCTTATTCTATAACATGTTCATTTTATTATGTAACATGTTCATCTTATCGTATAACATGTTCATTTTATTATGTAACATGTTCATCTTATTTTATAACATGTTCATCTAAATTTCATATGTGAAAAATGTAACATTTTCATCTTATTAGAGAGGATTTTGGTTTGTGAAGGTGGAGGATATTCGATCGAAAGACTAATTTATGAAATTTATTTTACATTCTACTAGTTTTTCACTTTCATTCCCTATAGTATGACTATTGCATAAATTTGAGTTCTTATCTGTAGATTATGGTTTATTATTTCAGGGCGGAGATGCTTGCATTAAACGAGTGAAAGTCGAGCAAGAAATTGACCAGAATTTTATATATGAAGTGGAAATTGGAGAAAATAATGTGAGAGCCCGTGATGTAGATATGGAATCTAAACATGTCCATCTTATTCTATAACATGTTTATTTTATTATGTAACATGTTCATCTTATTCTATAACATGTTCATTTTATTATGTAACATGTTCATCTTATCGTATAACATGTTCATTTTATTATGTAACATGTTCATCTTATTTTATAACATGTTCATCTAAATTTCATATGTGAAAAATGTAACATTTTCATCTTATTAGAGAGGATTTTGGTTTGTGAAGGTGGAGGATATTCGATCGAAAGACTAATTTATGAAATTTATTTTACATTCTACTAGTTTTTCACTTTCATTCCCTATAGTATGACTATTGCATAAATTTGAGTTCTTATCTGTAGATTATGGTTTATTATTTCAGGGCGGAGATGCTTGCATTAAACGAGTGAAAGTCGAGCAAGAAATTGACCAGAATTTTATATATGAAGTGGAAATTGGAGAAAATAATGTGAGAGCCCGTGATGTAGATATGGAATCTAAACATGTCCATCTTATTCTATAACATGTTTATTTTATTATGTAACATGTTCATCTTATTCTATAACATGTTCATTTTATTATGTAACATGTTCATCTTATCGTATAACATGTTCATTTTATTATGTAACATGTTCATCTTATTTTATAACATGTTCATCTAAATTTCATATGTGAAAAATGTAACATTTTCATCTTATTAGAGAGGATTTTGGTTTGTGAAGGTGGAGGATATTCGATCGAAAGACTAATTTATGAAATTTATTTTACATTCTACTAGTTTTTCACTTTCATTCCCTATAGTATGACTATTGCATAAATTTGAGTTCTTATCTGTAGATTATGGTTTATTATTTCAGGGCGGAGATGCTTGCATTAAACGAGTGAAAGTCGAGCAAGAAATTGACCAGAATTTTATATATGAAGTGGAAATTGGAGAAAATAATGTGAGAGCCCGTGATGTAGATATGGAATCTAAACATGTTCATCTTATTCTATTACATGTTCATTTTATTATGTAACATGTTCATCTAAATTTCATCTCTGAAAAATATAACATTTTCATCTTATTCTATGACATGTTCATCTTACTCTATAACATGTTAATCTTACTATGTAACATATTTATCTAATTATATATTTGCGTCATAATCTTCCAATAAGATAAATTAATTGTAAAAAATGATAAATTAATTGTGTTCCAATGTTCATATGTTCATCTTACTATATAACATGTTCATATGTTTATCTTATTTTATAACACGTTCATATGTTCATCTTATTGTGTAAATATGTAACATGTTCATCTTATTATGTAACATGTTCATCTTATTGTATAAAATGTTCATCTAAATTCCATCTGTAAAATTATAACATTTTCATCTTGTGCTATAACATGTTCATTTTACTATATAACATGCGCATCTTAGTATGTAACATGTTCATCTTATTATATATTTGTGTCATCACCTTCCAAAAAGATAATTTAATAATAAAAAATGATAAATTAATTGTGTTCCAAAACTTATCAAATATGGTCTCTATTTGTAGAGATTGAAAAATTATGAATTTTGGTATTTTTATTTTTATTTTTTAATATAAAATATGAATAATAATTTAATTTATATAATATGATATGTAAAATTTATTATCCAATATATATTGGACACTTGTCTTTTTTAAACAAAAAAAAAAAAAACTTGCATACCTTATTATCTCTCTCTCTCTGCGCGTGGGAAAGGATTTGGACAGGATTTTCATTTTAAGGCCACGCTCCTTTTTCTTACGTGCATTCACTCTCTGTTTTGGCACACCTAGCAAGATGTACCTAGGTGCACGTAAGTATTTGCGCAACTAAACGGCCCCTACAAAGTTCTATGATCCGTCAATTTGGTACAGAAATAATGTCAAACAAGCACACTTCTGAAGCTATATGGTTTATTCCATAACTATATCCCATAAAAACCACTGAATCCTTATATTATTAATCTTGCCAATATTTTTGCCAATTACATAATCACAAATTAGGCAAACATTTTTATAGTGTCCACAGGCCTATAAAAGTCCAAATTTCCTCATTTGACTAATTAATCAAGAAAGGCATAGACTTTTGAGTTTTGTCACGACAAAACATTGCCCAAACCCAAATCAGGCCTTAATATGCGGTTTTGCAGCTTTTGTCAATTCCTCAAAACAAACCAACTAGTTCACAACAACATCAAATTAAACAACACACTCTTAAACTCTCAAACAACACACATCAAGCAGTTTCAAACTCAAAATAACACTTGCTACTACTTAGCACCAAAACAAGCCATCATCAAAATCAAGATCCATTCAAAACCCCTCGAGCCAAGTCGCGCACGAGATTCTCCAAGCTCTCGAACGATTCCCCTCCTTCCCTCACCGCATCCCGGGCCCTCTCTCCCAACTCCGCGGCCCGCGCCCTCCTCTCCCCCCACTCCTCCCCCGTGGCCTCCACCAGAAACCTCGCCACGTCATCGGAGTCGGGCACCGTCTCGGCCCCTTCCCACGCCCTAACCGCCACTCCCAACTCCTCCACCAACAGCTTCGCGTTCAAGTACTGGTCGGCCCCCATTGGCCACGTCAGCATCGGCACCCCGGCCGCGATGCTCTCGAGCGCCGAGTTCCACCCGCAGTGAGTCAGGAAAACCCCCACGGCTCGGTGCCGGAGTATCGTCACTTGTGGGGCCCACCCTTTTATGAGCATTCCGCGCCCGGCAGTGCGGGCCTCGAACCCGCTCGGGATTGAACCCAAGTCCTCCCCTCCGTTCGCGTGGCCGCGGGTCGGGCTTTTCACGGATAGGATGAATTTGACGCCGCTTTTCTCGAGGCCTCGGGTGAGCTCGCGCATTTGGTCGTTGGTGAGCACGGCTTGGCTACCGAAGCATATGTAGACTACGGTGTTGTCGCCGAATGAGTCTAGCCACGTGTGTATCTCGTCGGGGGAGATTGAGCTTGATCCGCCTCGATCGACCGGCCCGGGCTGGAGGACGGGCCCGACGGGCCAGATGCGGTTGTGGCCCAAATTATTGGCTAGGTAATCTAAGTGCGGGCCTTCGAGCCCGCGGAATGTGTTGAAGATGAGCCCGTGGCTGGCCTGGTTGCAGAGCATTAGATCTCGGATGAATTCGGAGTTCGGGTCGCCTTCGGTGTAGCTTCGGAAGACGGGGGAGAGCTGCCACCAGGGGAAGATCGGGAAATTCGGGCTGCCGGGGAGTTGGATAGGTTCGGCGTCGTCTGAGGGGTTGCGGCGGCGCGGCATCTCGCGCCAGAGGGCGTTGATGAAGGAGACGGCGAAGGCGCCGGAGGGGAAGAAGGCGTAGCGGCGGATGCGGAGATCGGCGGCGAGGTGGTGGGTCCAGCCGAGGAACATGTCGGAGAGGAGGGCGGTGGGAGGGGAGGGGTGGGAGCGGAACCAGTCGAGGATGGGGCG